CAAACCTGTTTATGTGAGAACCTCTCACCGAGTTATGTATTGCATGTTATCCTCTGCTATTAGACTGACCTGTAGAAAGCCCTACCAACTTCAGCATCACTGATGCTGCTTGCAGCTATGCGGTTTTAGTGTCAGAAAAATGGATTGCACGATTTAGCATGGCAGGTGTGCTATAAAATCCTCTAGTATTAGATTTGAGATCTAATGTCGGGAATGCCTAAGGAAATATCCACGTAAGAAAGTGCATGATGGAATTCCAGTAGCACAGGTGCAGCTAACCTGGTTCTGTGGGAGGGGCAGCTCTGAGTTTCTTCCCATAGAATTCTGCAGTCAGGGAGGAGTGGTGGTCACAGCCCAACTTTTTTCCGCAAGCCCTCAGAGGTGATTTATAGGAGGCGTTCATGAATGCTTGCTGTCTCTTCATTACTTGCTCCAATGAGGAATTGCATACAAAGCTATTTTAGGATCAGATCTGCTTATCAACAGATGAAGCTTAGAAAGAGGAGGGTCAGTCACTAGATGTCTGGTATGAAAGACTGCGTGTCACAATCACAAGTTCATGTTCATTCTTTTCTGGTACTTTGTCATGCCATATGAACTTCTCTGTCCTCTCTTATTGTCATTTGTTACTTGGGACAAGCCTTGGCTGCAAGAGACAAGGCAAAAAGAACCAACACCCACCCTACCCCAAACCCTCAAATAAAATAAAAACCCACAACATGTAGATCCATCAGTTGATGCTTGAAGCCAGAAAGCAGTCTCTAACCTTCCAAAGTGCTACAAACTCTTTAACAAAGCAGATAACCAAGTCCCCAAGATTGCCAGGACCAAAGCCCCTGTGTGATTTCATATTCTTACTCTGAAAATGGAGCTGTGCCAGTCCTCCTAATGCTGTAAGTCCTTCTAAAGTGAATGCTAGTCATGAGTTCCTTGTTGGTATCTTCTGTCTTGCTCTGACAGGGCACAACAATTCAATGTTAACGCTGATCTCATCTATCCTATCTATTCCTGTCTGTTCTTGTTGCTGGATTGGGAACATACTTTTTTACTCCAATATTTAAAGGCTTCTACCTTACTGACTTTGCCAATGCTGTACCGATTACTGCTCTTTCTCTGGTCTTAGCAACTTCCAGATTTCACTGCTTCTCAAATTTGTGCTGCTGAATGCTAGGGAATGGTAGCTTCTAAAAGCAGCATTTGAAACAATAAGGTGAGGTGCTAAAAAATACCTGCTGTTATTTATGTGAGATGAAAACCATGTGGAAGCACAGGTCAAAGACTGTGAGAATATTTATGCAATGTTTGTTTCGTTCACTACCAGTGAATGGTTTTATAAAAAAGACATTATTAGTCCATATTACCACAAAACTATTGTGTACTTTTACATTAATTGGTCTGTGATGCTCCTAGAAATAATCTTAAAGGGCTACATGCTATTAAGTGGAAATGAAGTTAATGTAACCTGGAAGTGTTTGTGCCCTCACAGAAGAATATTTTTATTTACTGTAGTAATGTAGGATGTCCAAAGCAACCTCAGGCACTTGGGCACCTGTTCCTCACTGATGTTTTTAATGGAATTAAGGCTTCTGTTTCCCTTAGATTTCTTTGAAAGTCACAGTTAAAGGCTCTTGAAGTTCATTAAAGTCTTTTTATGCCTTAAATATATGCTATCAGGGTGTAGTCCTCAAAATCTTGCTTGTTAAAGTGTTAAAAATGTTGAATGAGTATGTAAACTCACAGAAAATGTAAGGCCAAAAAGCTACTACTAAAATTGCATGTGCTAATATGAAGTAAGCTTCTCAAGTTGCCCACCTGCTACCAGGGGACGTTCTTGTATGGTTGAGCCATAATAAGAAATGTCTGGAAACCAGTTTTCTTATCCAAGGACTACATTCATTTCCAATAACGTGTAGTCATTTGGACAAGTTTGTGTGGCTTATGAATAGTAATAGACTGTGCTGTTGGTTTGGACAAAGGAATATAAATCACTAAGTGTCAGGCAGCTTAGAAACTGCTATGTCCTCGTGATGGTTTAATAGAGTACAAAGGGAATTGCCTTCAAGCTAGTGAAATCTTGCATCCAGTCGCACATCGGTGATGCTTCAGAAAAATAAGAGAATTGTTCTCTTATGAGTCGTGGCATAAAAATTTAATTACCAGCTGAGCTCTTTCTGAAGATGAGAAAAAAAACAGTGATTTCTTTTTATATAGTTGCTTTCCTTTAACTGTTTAGTTTGTATTTCTGTATTGTTCACACAGACAAGATCTGCTGTCTTGTACATCTGGTTTTTTTCCCCTCCTTCAGTAGAGATTTTGAGATTATTTCACCCAGTTTCAACATATTTTTTTTTTACGTTATGTTTCAGTATACTTGAACACTGTTCTTGGAAGACATTCAGAACACGAGTCAGAGGAAGAAGTGGATGCATAATCAGATGTAGTATGTAGGGTATATAAAACTGTTGGTTTTAAATACACTAATAATTAGAATAATTGCTACTGTCGTTGATAGGCTTGAAATGAATCTTTCTTTAGAAAAATACAAAGATAGTAAATATATACTAATAAAAAAATCAATCCTTAGTTGGAATCAGGTACTATTTATGTTTGTTATTATACTTCCATCTCTTTAGCACATGTTACTAAAGAGATGAAAATACCACTCTGACAAGCAGAGTTCCTCAGGGGTCTGTTCTGGGTCCAGGGCTGTTCAACATCTTTGTCAGCGACATGGACGACGGCATCGAGTGCACCCTCAGCAGGTTTTCCAATGACACCAAGCTGTGTGGTGCCGTGGACTCACTTGGGGGAAGAGATGCCATCCAGAGGGACTTTGACAGGCTTGAGAAATGGGCCAGTGCAAACTGCATGAGCTTCAACACGTCAAAATGCAAGGTCCTGCACCTGGGTCTGGCCAATCCCGGGAACAAATACAAACTGGGCACAGAGTGGCTTGAGAGTAGCCCTGAAGAGAAGAACTTGGGGGTGTTCACAGACGAGAAGACAGGGAACAGAAGGAGAGCCTCAAACTTTTAGCTCAGTTGGCAATTTGTTCATGATGCCAAATGTCTTAATGTCAAGTTAATTAAATCTCTGGTCTAATGTGACATGTTTTCTAAAAGCACACTGGTGCACGGATATATGATGACTTTGAAACATAAATGTTTGGGTTTTTTGCAGTTAGTAAAAATGCTTAAAGGCTCAGATATATTAAAGAATGTGTCACTGCTTCAAGGCATTCCTTGGCGCAAACATCAGTCCCAGTGCTTTCAGAACTGCCTCGAAACAGTCAGACCAGCAGAGACCTGAGGACGTGTGTCAGAAAAGATGTAACTAGCTGAAAGATGCAGTCATTGAAGCTCAGCTAGCTTCTTTAACTTTTGTATGCCCAGAAATGCATAGGCTTGTCTATTTATTTATGTTTAGAGGGCAGTAGTGAAGTATATCCTAGCTGTGAATCCTATATACATCTTTGTAACAAGTGTAGAGTCCGCAACAGTATAGCTGTGAACTTTGCTTTTCAACTCTCTCATATATGAGGTGTTTTCACAGAATGTCAAGGTATTGGGAGTTGGAAGGTACCTCAAAAGATCATCTAGTCCAACCCCCTGCCAGAGCAGGATCACTCAGAGCAGGTCACACAGGAACATGTCCAGGTGGATTTTGAATGTCTCCAGAGGAGACTCCACAACCTCCCTGGGCAGCCTGTTCCCATGCTCCATCACCCTCATAGTGAAAAAGCTTTTCCTAATGTTTCTGTGGAACCTCCTGTGTTTCAGCTTGCACCCTTTGCCCCTTGTCCTGTCATTGGATGTCACTGGGAAGAGCCTGCCTCCATCCTCCTGACACTCATCCTTTGCATATTTATAAACATTAATGAAGTCACTCCTCAGCCTCCTCTTCTCCAAGCTGAAGAGACCCAGCTCCTCTCCTTCTCATACACCCCAGGATGCCATTGGCCTTCTCGGCCACGAGGGCACACTGCTGGCTCATGGCCATCCTGCTGGCCACCAGCACCCCCAGGTCTCTTTCCCCTTCGCTGCTCTCCAACAGGTCAGTCCCCAGCCTATACTGGCACATGGGCTTGTTCTTTCCCAGGCACAAGACTCTACACTTGCCCTTGTTGTATTTCATAAAATTTCTCCCTGCCCAACTCTCCAGCCTGTCCGTGTCTCTCTGAAGGCAGCACGGCCTGCTGGGGTGTCACATCAGTTTTGTGCCATCAGAAGCTTGCTGACAGTGCTCTCTGTTCCCTCATCAAGGTTGCTGATGAATATTGAATAGTGCTGGTCCCAGTACGAACCCCTGAGGGACTCAGGGGTAGAATTTTGCACCCCATTGACCCCACAACTCTCCGACTTCTTCCCTTCAACCAGTTCACAATCCTGGAAATGGGTCTTCTAAAGAAAGTTTCCTTCTTTCGTGTCTTGCACAAGTCATTGTTTTTTGAACTTAAAAAAAGATTTTAAGTTTTCATTTTGAAAACATTAAAACTTCCGAAATTTACTTTGAACTATCTTTGGAGAGTAGGATCCGATGCTAGATTTGAAGAAGCTGAATCTAAGAGTAAATATTTTCCTTGCAATACTAGACTTCTTAAGTTTCCAGAAGAATCTGGTTGTTTGTTTAGGTCAGTAGACACACTTTGTATTTGATATCTGGTATATAATTTCTTCAGGGTAAAACATCTGCTACATGATTTTTCTAATCTCACAATCTTCTTTGCACACTTTTCCCACAAAAAAAAAGAAATGACAATTTATTCTCCACAGCAAGTGTTTATGTAACTTTTACAAAGTGACTGCATATAGACTTGAAAAATAATTTTCCTATGTGTATATTTATGAATATTGTATTACTAAAAAGCAGTAAGGTAGGACAGCAATTAATTATAAGGATACATGCATGCTATACGATAATTAACTTTGACAGAAATTTTTAATCACCAAGACTCTATAGATTTTTTTGTTATAGTTTCAAATTTTCTTAAAACATTATTTTTATTTGTTATATTCAGTTTTACAGAATTTTTGGATCCATTCCAGCGGGTTATCCAGCCAGAAGAGATCTGGCTGTATAAAAATCCTTTGGTGCAATCAGACAACATACCTACACGTCTTATGTTTGTAAGTACTAGAGGTTTACTGCTCCTTTGATGACTGCAACCTAAGTATACTTTTATTTGATAAGCAGTGGGAAATCTTTCAGAAGTATAGGATGTTCCTTTAATTCTAATAACAATTGTTTTCCAAACCAAGGATGTCCAAAATGGCAAAATGTAGGAAATCTTGGGGAGTTTGTATAAAGTGGCATGACCAGGCAACCGAATTTCTGAATGTTGAATTTACAGTTTAAGATTTAAGCTAGAGTTACCTTAGAGTGATGCTAGAGAAATGATTAGAGAAGCTTTTTGAATTAGCTGGTTGGGTGACCTGACAAAACCCTGCCATGATCTTATTAGGTTAAGAGCTTAAATTTTGAAATCCAATTTGTTTAAGGCATGTTAGGCATTTTGAAATTTTTTTTTCCCATGTACACAAACCTTTTGTTTTAGCTTCTGCCAGCAAGCATACTAAATAAATTATAGAGCTTCTCTGCTGCCACTGCTCTTCTGGCTCTCCCCAGCACAGCTCATGTTTGTCTGCTTATCAAAATCCATGATTTTGATATCAAAAATGCAGGTTATCAAAATCCATGATTTGTTAACCATTCCTAGAGAAGGTTATCACAGTCATGGATTTTGATACCCTTCGCTAGGTATGGTTAACAGTTTTGATAATCTACATATATAAGAGTGCAGTTAGATAGACCAGTAGAGAAATGCTAAGAAATTACAGGTATAGTTCCATACAGACAAGTAGGTCAGCCTTGGCAAAAGCTTCCTCAGTGAAAGTGGACATTTTGCAGGAATGACTGTGGCAGATGAGGTCACTTCTGTGTACCCTTACGTCAAAGCAGCTTTTCCTGTGTCTTCAGTAAAGCTGGGAGTTTAGTTTTCAGATTAGGGTTTGAGTGCAAAATAAATGCAAATCAGCTATGTAATTTATCTTCAGCTTTTTTTTTGTTTGTTTGATTGCTTTAAATGCTCAGGCCTTCAGTTACAGAAATTTTTAATGAGGTAAAGAACAACTTAAAAGTGCTTCGTATTTATGAGGCAACAATATATATAGCCTTCTAAGACAGAGGCTAAAAGTCTGGTTCTAAATTGAACAACATTTTGTTTATATTGCACTATGAAGAAGTTCTATTAGGGACTTTTTCAGCCTGGATGGGTGAAAATCTATGTTTTTCCTCACATGGAAGACAGATATGTAAAAGCAAACAAAAAAACCCTCAAACTCAAACTATAAATTGTTGTACTAGGAAAGACTGAGTTTAAATCTGCCATTTTTCCTTATCCTGAGCATTACCTTGCTACATCGTTTCTCTGATCTGTGTTTATAACCGAAGAGTTAAAGAACCAGTAGTGAACCATTGTACAGGGGTTTGCTGTGGTGGTGAAACTATTTTTGAAACCAGTTGGCATAATCATTAGTCCATCCTCTATTCTCTTGGCAGTAGCCAGTGGGTAGCACAATTTCCCCATTAACCACTTCCCACAGACCCAACTTTTGGAATATTTTGTGGTGAGTGAAACTTCCAGGCTGGTCTGAGTAAGTCATGTTTGTATAGTCTGTGTTCTCCTTCTGGCTCAGACCATTGACATCTCAGTAGGGCAGTGAACAGCTGCTTAAATTAAGAAATGTAGATAGATACTTTCCGTAATGTTTTTTTTTCTTCTTTAATTGAAAAGAAGAAAAATCCATCTCTAGCATTGATGACAAGCTTCCATTATGTAAAGACTTTCTTGCTACTGGTGTTGTACTCCGATAATGAAACATATGGCTATGGCTTGCCAGAAAGCAATCTGTAAGACTTTATGAACTGCTGGATTATTTTCCATGCTGAGAGATTTAAATTCAAGAGAAACATTATGAATATTCCAAGCCCAGATCAAAATGAGACGAAGCTGACTTCTGCATGGGTAGCAAGCGAGCCACAAGGACTGGAAAAACCTGAGCCTTGTTCTGGCTCTCCGTCAGTGAATATGCTTTGTCTTGGAAAGTGTAAGGTACTGTCAACTTGTCTTGAGCACATGGAAGTATGTGGGAGTCCCTGTAGATTTAGCATATCTCTGGCTTGCCAGGATGAATAATGAACGAGAGAAATTTAGTCCATGTTTCACAAAAGAAAGACAATGTTGGAATATTTCGCTGCTGGAAAAGAAAACATTACTGAGATGCGTCTGAGGAAGTATTGCTCATTAGGCTGTTGCCAAGTCTGTTATGGGTATAAGCCAGACGGAGTCCTTTTGCAAAATAAAGAAAAAGGAGTTTTTAGCAAGCCAAACTTTCTTTATATGTGGGTTTTGCTGCAGAGTAAAAAAACCCACCTTCTAGCTAATGCTTTTGCATAAGGAACAGCAGTGTGCTGCAAACATGAATAGTTCTTCATCACTCCCGAAAATCCATATGTTTGTGAAATATGAGGAAATCTGCAGTTTTACCAGATTTCTGAAGATTGATTGTGAAGTGGTTTGGAACAAGCTGCCACCTGAATTCTATTCTTTATTGATATTTCCTGCTGCTCCTGCTTGTTCAAAAGATTTCTAACTCCATTAAACCACCACTGTAAGCCTGTCAGCCTGGCTATATTTCTACATGTTCTTCAGCAATGGAATGCAGATATCTTTCTTCGTTTCTTTCCTGGTGGAAAGTAAAATAACAATTCTAGATTTTGCTTTACCTTTCTTTTTATTATTATTTTTTTCACTCTCTGTCTCTGAAAGCAGAAATTAAATAATAGCTGAGGATAGAGAGAAGGGAACATTTCTAGAGCAGTATCACGGCACTGGCATCCTAACTTGAATTTCACACACACTGTAGGCAGAAGGGAGTTTTAAGTGGAAATGGTGCACCTCCTTGCGCAAAATCTGATGCCTGCCTTTCTAAATGTAAAAAAGGGAAGCAGACACCAGACTGTGTTTTAAACTGCATGGATCACAGAGTTAGATAATATTTTGCAGACGCAGGTAAGGGAATCTGGTCCAAGACACGCTACCAAAATAACAAATCCGGTGCATTTGCATGTTGTTCCCTACTCAGATATTCTAAAAGCATAAAATGAGGACTAGGATTAATCTGTAACATAAAGAGAGTCACATGTCTTTTGTCCTAACATGTCTGTCCCATCTGATCTTCATTTCAGTGAGGCTGTTGAAGAAGTAAAACACTGTTCAGCCTCAGCAGAGATAGCATTATCTTACTTAAGCTCTGGTGCCCCTTGTGCCATATACACCTTGATTTTTGCCTTCTTGCTAGAAATCCCCCAAATAATAATTACTTTTCTTCAAGAGAATAAATGTTTTTGAAAGACCTTGGTTGTTTGGTTTTTTTTTTGAACAAACAGGATTGTAAAGAGGTTTGTAGATTTCAGACTTAGACCAGAGCCAGCAAGAAGCATAAACAGACTACCTTGCCTCTAAGTTGCCTTCTGCCTCTGCAACTGAAGGTCTGAGACAGAAGGGATGATGGAAGGACCAGTTGGGAACAAAATCATAGCTTCCATGGCAAGCTACTAATGAAAAACTCCTTGGTGTTGTGCTTTGGAGAAACTGATATATCTCTCTGGAGAAAGCCAATAAATACATGCTTTGGGAGGACAGGATGCTTTTTGGATAACTGACACATTTACACTGAGTCACCAACCATAGTCTAAATTGCTCTGTGATGAAGAAGATGTTCTTGAAGATGAAGTGTGTGTAGTGACGTGCAGATGCCTTTTCATATTCCTTGTAGAAGGATTCCTGTCCAACAGTAGTGCTTAACCGTTGAATATACTTGTTGATGTTTTTCTGTTTTTGAATAAAGTTAAACAATTTGCTCCACATCCAAACACTTGTAAATGAATCACAGGACATGATCTTTGCAGTGCATTCAAGAACGATAGTTAAAACCAAAATCAAAATGTAAAATAAAAGAACATTTTGGAATGTTAGAAAGTTGGTGCTGTTATGTTCAAAAGGGTCTTACTGAGAGCACAGCCCAAAGGGGCTGCCTTCTGGAGCAATGCTTAGTGTGGAAAAATGTACTTGATCTGTATGGATCAGTGTATAAATTTTGTGGACCTTATAGACTGTTGCTTTTTCATTTAGGAAGCTGACATTTTAAATGCAGCTCCAGGCAATTGCAAATCAATTATAGCCCACAGTTATATTACAGTTTTAATGTATTAGTTTGCCCTGTAGTTGCAAAGACAAATCATCCCACTTTGCTTAAGGTCAGGAGTTTGACAAAGATCATTCAGCCTTCCCGTTTAAATGGAGCTAACTGGAACTAATTATTAATCAGTTGGACTGAAAAAGGAATTGATGCTCTCTCACACATGGTATTTGTTATCTCTTACAGGCAATTTCATTCCTTACGCCACTAGCAGTCATTTTTGTGGTGAAAATAATCCGCCGAACTGACAAGACTGAAATTAAAGAGGCTTTCTTAGGTAACGTATGTTGTACTTCAAGACGGAGAATTTGTGATAGCTCTGAGATTGATTCCAGTTGTAGTCTAAGCCTTGAAGAAAACCTGTCTCCATTACAGCTTGTTACAAGTAGTTTTCAGCACAGTTATAGTTGCAAGCCATCTCACAAAAGCCTTCATTTTTATCTATGCTTCTAAATGTACAAATTCTGTTCCTTAATTCCACAGTCTCTCTACTAAGGGCCAGAATTCGATGAGCAAAGAGAAGACCTTCTGAGAGACTGTTCAGCTGTATATTCTTCTGCCACAGCCTATCTGTTACTTAACCTCTTATTTATACTTGCAGCTATTTGAAATTAAAGGTTCGACTAGAAAGTCCTGTGAGACTCCACTGCTTAGTGTAGGAAATTACTCCTCTCATTGTTTTCTCTGGCATTCTCCTGGAGTTTACTGTTCTCCATTGCAAAATCTATGCTCATGGCTCAGCTTTTCTAATCGCACACTCATGTTTCAAGTTAAACTGCCAGTGGTGTTAGATGTGCAATTAATCCTAGACTGTGAACTGGTGTTATGGGTGAGGTCTAATTATGGTTGTAGGCAGCAGCTTTGAGCAGAGAAGCAGGCAGACAATGAGGATGGTAAATCTTAAAATGTTCTAGCTAACTCTGGCTCTGCCTGTCTTTTGGCATTTTTTGCTGATATATGCCCAGATCCTTTTTACGTAGGTAATGCCAGAGACCAGAATTGCACTTTCACTAGCAGAGGACACTTTGAAGCAGTAAGGACTGCAAATGGTTTTCTTGGCAGTATGTTTGAAATATGCCTAATTCTGAAATTCTGTTTTACTGACCTTTGAAAATTATTTTAGATAAGGCTGGATTCCCATACTTTGTTCTTTCTCCAGTTGCTCTAACACGATCCTAGTTTTGTTTTGGCTGCTGCCAGTCATTTGTAGTAAGTTCTGAAATGTCTTACAGTGATATTTTCCTGACAAATCCACTCAGTAGAAATAACTCTGATTCATAAAATGTATACAGTCACAGTTTGGAGTTTCACCCTCTGTTGTTTAAGGAGAGGAGCTTTGGATTAGTTTCCCTATCACTTATTATATTATTTTGTGCTAGAGAGACAGTTATTTTTTCTGCTGTTCTTACCTTTTGTTATGATTCCCTCTATAAGATCCAGGAGAAAACGTGACAGTTTCTCCAGTATCCTTCCTTCTACCCAGATATTAAGGAAAAACCAACCCTAATGTCCTGTTCTGCAGGGTATCCCTGCTCATTATGTGCCATAAGTGTGGAACTTCTTGTGGCTTATTTATGTCCAAGTGTGCTGTATATTAATATGATTCGGTATGTTTATGTGTCCAGTGATGCAAAGCTGCTGTTCAGATTCATTAACTGTGGTGCAGCTTTGCTGATTTGCTGAGATCTGGCACATAACGTTCATAAAGAACGATCAAGAAGTCCCCCAAGAGGTGAATTTCTTTAGGCATCCTATGTGGAATAGGTCAAAGATTAAAAGGATGTGAAAATGCTTTTCTGCTCCTATAGCCATTAATATAAAAAGGTGATTCAGTGGATCTAGGGTAAGGAGAAGTTAGCTTCCTAATGCAGGTGCCCTTAATCCTTCCCCTAGAAGTGCCTACACCTCTCTAGTGGTGAGATGATATGACTTTTGTTGGGCTGTGTCTTCCTAAATCTTTCCTAAAGGGAACAAAATGAGAGCAAATGCAATTTGTTTGTCAGCTCGCAGTCACGCTGTCATGTGACACCTGGATTGCCATCATAAGGAGTATGCAACAGTGAAAGCAGGTATGCGATGATGAAGCTCAGTGTAAAAAAGTAAACTTTACTGCATGTCTCAGAAAGCAGGTATCTCTGCATCTCCTTTTTTTTGAAAAAAAAAAAAAAAGAGAATGCAGTGCTGTGACATTGCTGGCCATACGCATTTACCTTTGTGGAAACTTGCAGTTCACCAGAAAATCACTGTAAATAACTAAGAGAAAACAATTGAGAGGAAAAAGGGAGCATGGGATTGAGTGGTCACTGTGAACACAGGTGTGCAAAGTGGAACACTTTTTTGAACAGTGTCAGTGTCTCTAGGATTGACTTGTTCTTTTATTTTTGCTGACAGCTATTGCTGTAATCTGAGAAAACCTCTGGTTTTGCTTTGATGGAGGACTTCTTATTTTTTTTAACTTAAAGAAGAATAGATTCTATACAACACACATTTTTATGATCTATAATATCCTCAGGCAAAGATTTTATGGAGACAGGATGAGTACTGCTGAAAAGCAGCATCTGGGGCAGCAGTCCAGTGAGAAAATAGCTTGTGTAGCTGTCATAATCAAAAGTTGCAGTTGTTCTGCTGGAAATCATAGATTTGCCTGATAGTTTCTTTTCTGATGGGAAATAAAATTCAGTGGCTCTTGTGTTCTAACAGGGAGCTACAGTGTGGACTGCAACATTAAATCAGTTTTAATCTAAAAGGAGTGTATGCACTGGATCCAAGTGCCACTGAAATCAAGGCAGAGGTATCCACAGGCTTTAGATAAGGTTCTTCAGAAAGTTTGGGGACTCAGCATGCAAGTACAAATAAAAAAGATGATTCAGTGGTACCTACTATGACAGTTCTAGTTTATTACTCCAATTGTGTTAGGTAAATTGTTTAATCCTGGGATCAAAAGTCCCAGAAAGGAAATATTTTTGAAAGAAAAAATAAGAAATTGTCCAATTCTAGTTTTAGCTGAAAGGCAATTCTTGAGCCTGAAAGTAGACATAAAGACACACATGTGTGTGTATGTATATTTTACATATAGGTCTATACAGGAGTTCTCCTTCACCCAAAGAGCATGTGTTTTGCTTCTAGTAAGTTGCAAAACTGATAAACACAACACTTGATTCGCTGATAATTGCTTCCATCTGATGATTTATGCCTGTGCAAGTAGCGTGATAGGAGAACTGGCTCTGCATAAGGAAGTAAGATTTTGCAAAAGTAAAAGCAGAACAAGGTAAAGAAGGGGTCAAGGGAGGTGATTTTGCTCCCCTGCTCTGTTCTGGTGAGACCCCACCTGGAGTAGTGCGTTAGGCTCTGTAGTCCTCAGCACAGGAAGGACATGGACCTGTTGGAGCGAGTCCAGAGGAAGCCACACAAATCATTAGAGGACTGGAACACCTCTGCTGTGAAGACAGGCTGAAAGCACTGGGGTCATTCAGCTGGAGAAGAGAGGGCTGTGGGGAGACCTTATTGCAGCCTCTCAGTACTTTAGGGGAGCTGTCCTGGTCTGAGTCTAGAAGAAAGATGGGGACAATCTTTTTAGGAGGGCCTGTTGAGATAGGACAAGGGGTGACAGTTTTAAACTAAAAGAGGATAGACTTAGACTAGATTTAAGGAAAAACTTTTTTACAATGGGGGTAGTGAAACACTGGAACAGGTTGCCCAGTGAGGTGGTAGAAGGCTCATCCTGGTAAACATTCAAAGTCACATTGAACTGGGCTCTGAGCAACCTGATCTAGATCAGCACATCCCTGCTCACCGCAGGGGGGTTGGACTGGATGACCTTTAAAGGTCCCTTCCAACCCAAAGCATTCTGTGATTCTGTTCTATGATTCCGACAAAGTCAGTCACGTGATTATGATGCTCTGGGGTCTGTCCTTAGTTTGGATAATAAGAAAACCAATAGGCTGCAAATATTGTTTTGTTTTCAGTTCAGTAAAGATTTCAGTCTGTAAATGTAATGCTGCAATTTATAGCTTGGTGTTTAGGTTATTATTGTTCTTTTTGTTCATTTTGTTTTGTAGCTGTTTCCTTGGCTCTAGCTCTGAATGGCGTCTGCACAAATACTATTAAATTAATAGTGGGAAGGTAAGTCTTGTCATGTTATAAATGATGGCTTTAACTGTTAAGAGAAGTGAAGACAGATTGGCAAACACAATACATCTTGATAAAAAGATTGCTGCTGCTCCAAAACATATTGAATTAAAACAGGCCCCTGTGAATCTGTCCTTTCCCTGGTGCAGGTGTTGTACAACTTCATTATGTGACATCCAACTGTGGCAGATCCAGACAAACAAGGAGTTTGAAAGGAAGGGTGTAAGCTGAAATCGGGTCGTTAAATTGGCAGCACAGAAGGGAAGAGCCACAGCATGTGGAAATGCAGATACCAGTGCCACTGGTCTGATTAAACAGGAATCAGTTGTGTCTCTGTATAGCCCAACACCTGCATTTTGTATGAATCCTGTTACTGAATATGCTATTTCCAGGTAACGCCAAGATGCATGGCAGAACAAACCTTGGAGCTAAGCAATGGGTAGACTCCTAGGTAGGCCTTTTTTTTTAAGGAAGCATGAATTTGAGTGGAAAATACTAGCAAACAAAAACTCTCTCTAAAAGAATTTTTGTAGGTAATTTTTGGGTTTGTCTGAAAAATTTAAATAATTTCAAACTGAAAAATGAGTATTGGAATCTGAATATTTAATCGAGTCCAGTGCTGTGTTTGGTGTTCACCTGTTTTGCAGCATTGATGAAACAGTATTTTTGCTGGGTTTCTGATGAACCCTCTCTGCTACAGTACTGACGCCTTGACAATAATGGCACTTGGCACTTTTATTTTAAGAGTGCCTTTGAAATATAATTAAGAATGTCTGCACCATCTTCTTCGGGCAGACATGAGCTCATTTTGCCTGCACTCACAGGCAACTAGTTGCTCTGTCAGCTTGTCTCTGAACCTGTAGTCACTCGCCTTGCCTCTCTACATGGTTTATTAGCTCAGGATCAGTGTGACAGCAGTCAAACCGACGTGCTATCATTCACCTCAGAGTAGGGTCAAAAAACTCAGAGGGTTGTTCACTGCAGTTAAGAGACTCAGCCTCTTGTTTTGTTGCCAGTCCTGTTCTCAGCAAGATAATGAATTCCATATGATCTTAAGCGTCTTTTCCAATCTCAATGATTCTATGATTTTTGTAGCTGTGTTAAGGCAGGAGGGAATGAACTCTCTATGTAATAAGCAGTAAATGTAATAATCCTGAGGTTTATTTGTTACTACAGCTTTTATATTTTTAATATCCATGGTGTCTTTTGTAGACCGCGTCCCGATTTCTTTTACCGCTGCTTTCCAGATGGAGTAATGAACTCTGAAATGCACTGCACAGGTGATCCAGATCTGGTGTCTGAAGGCAGAAAAAGCTTTCCGAGTATCCACTCTTCCTGTAAGTTCATTTAAATGCAGTGCCTCTTTTGTAAAACACTGCCCTGTCTATGTTTTGGAATTGCTGTTCTTGTTGTTAGATCACAAACTTGATTTTTGCTCGAGGGGTCTGGGCTTCTGTCTTAGGTCACCACTCGCACAATTTCGTTCTGGAAATAAACTTGTGAGCCTGTGACCCTTCCTTATCTTGAGAACAACCTGGCTTCACTGAGAGCTGTAGCAAGACTATAAAAGTAGAAGCATTATTCTACTCACTAAGAGTAGAAGCACTATTCAAGGTTAAAGAAAACTGGTTCTGAGGGGGTATCTGTTCTCTGATGTGACTTCTGTATGCAACCTTTGTCTATATATTGAATATTTAGTTTGTTATATTACACTGAAGTATGAAACGTCACTAGGTGTGTTTTGTCCTGCATAATTCTGACAAGATGTAGTTGATATCTTTCAAGTACCAGATCTACTAAACCACAGTTCAACTCACAAAGATGGTTCAACGACTTTTGTAGTTATGGTTTCTTCATGGGAGGTTGTATGCATGAGGGTGGAAAGGGCAGAAAGGAATCCATGGAATATCATGTTGCCTCATTTGGATGCTGTTTGTCCTAATGAACTGGATACAAAGGGAGGTCCCAGGAGTCCCTATAGCACTAGAAGCTCTTGTAATATGCCAGTAGGAGGATGATTCTTTCATCCCCCGTTTTCTTACTCTTCTGACAGTATCCACTGCAGGCTGTGGCTAAAGAAGGGATCCTTGTCTGTGTGGGCCTTGATTCTGAGGAGTCTGTGTTCAGATGTCTGCTGCCACTGCACTGGTTTGCCTGAGCCCAGGCAGGGGTAAACGGTGGCTCCGTTCCCAGCTCAAGCAAGCAGAGGAGAATAGGTAGAATGTCCTGACTTTTCTGTCAGCATGAGAGCACAGAGGCAGCGTGTGATGGGGGAACAGCTTTGTCAACAGTATCTTACTTAGAGCAGCAGGTAGGCAGGAAACAGAGGTAAACTTGGCACAGTTTGGAGTTTCTGTGGCTTTTTGTCTGCTCCTGGGACAACACAGTCACTTGTCACTCCATTTGGCTTTGAGGTGGTCCTCACTCTAGGTCTGAAGGTTGGACTAGATGATCTTCAGAGGTCCCTTCCAACCCCGAACATTCTGTGATTCTGGTGGTGTGAGCAGTTACTCCTAGCTTATGCTATATCCGGACAGATGTTTGGGTAGCTTTATGAAAACTCATGTTTTATGAAAACTCATGATTTGATTAGTTGTGTTAACTCAAGTTGGCTTTGAGGTGGTCCTCACTCTAGGTCTGGTGGTGTGAGCAGTTACTCCTGGCTTATGCTGTATCCGGACAGATGTTTTGGTAGCTTTATGAAAACTCATGTTTGATGAAAACTCATGATTTGATTAGTTGTATTAACTCAGATGTTTGCAAAGGTTCCTTTCTCTGTCTTGAGGAGCTGACTTCTAGAGTATTTTATGTCAACTGTCTAGTAAAACTTCGTTTCATCAGTAACATACTTGATTACTGTGAGCGTTCTTGGTTTGTTTGGTCAGTATTGTTTATTGCCTTGTGCTGTTCTCTTTCCGAGAACTGCCAGTTGAGTACCAGTAAGTCACATCTCTGGAATTTGTTTTTCTGATCTTTTTAAAAAAGTAGTAAGTTCAAATTGTCAAATTGTGCAGAATTATATATTGCAAACAAGTTGGGTAATGAGATGAATTAAATTTTGAGCTGATCTTGCTCCCTTTTTCTTGTTTGAGTCCCAGAAACAGCTAAGAGAGTAGATATTTATGGATGTGCTGCAAGTGTTATAGTCCAAAACAATGTACTAACTTAGCCGTCTCAAATTTTGTTTATAAGCTTCGATTACGTTAGAGACAATAGCAGAACATATCATATGCACTTTAGAGCAAATGGTATTTATTACTATTTGTAGTTTGTCTTCAGATCTGATTGTCGCACTTAGCTGCAGTCCTTCTGGTTAAATATTTCCTCAAGGTGCATGTGTACACTGATGTACTACAATTTACAGATTAGCCCTCAGCAGGTGTTAGAGTGCGTCACTCTCCTTTACTAAAATGCAAGAGTTTACTCCGAGGTTGCAAAGTGTGACTTGCAGAGGACACCCAGTGTGCTTTTGTTTTTTCACAGACTAGAAACACTGCACGTGTAGCAATCTCTGCTCAGCTCTGGCACACATACCAGTTCTGTAACGGAGACTGCTTGTCACACAGAGAAGTGCTTTGTCCCTGTGCCAGTGGGGCAGCACAGAATGCATACTGGAGTTTTAACTGGTATTGTTTTTTATATGTTACTGCAGCTCACACGGAATTCAGCTGGAGCAGAATGATGGCCCAGTGTGCTTAGATCAAAATTGTGAGAACAGCTTTCTCCATCGCTGACTAATATTACATTAGCATGTGGCTGAGTTGGCTGTATTTCCTACTACAAAGCCTTCTACTACAATGTGATAAGAATGAAAAGATATATATTATGCAGTAATTTTTATCTGTTGGTAACTGTGTGCTAGAGTAAGGGAATTCTGCAGCTGCTAGTAGTTAACTGTTTGAAGCCTGATACTACCTAAGTCTCTTACAAGACCGTGTCCATAAAATCCATACTTATTTTAGTATTTTAGAGAAGGAGACCATTTTAATTTGATAATCGTACAACACAAACCTCTTCTCCTTTTGTGTGGCAAAATTATTTTAATAACCAGGATTGCCAGTATGGTTTTTATCAAGAGCATTTTGCGCTTGTGATAATAAATTTAGTTTCTTAATGTTACTTCATTTCCCACTAGATTGAAGAGTGAAAAGCAAAAAATATCATGGGAAACACAACACTTTACTACCATCCTAGACCTATGAAGTAGTTACAATATTGAGGTATAATAAATCACATTTGGAAATTTTACTGTAATTCTACATTTCTAATATTTTTGTATGTGTGTAATGTACAAACTCTACCTCCTTTTTCTGGTGAAAAATTATTCTCTTCTCTCAGTTTTAAAAAGCTGTCCTTCCTGCCTTCTTAACGTGTAGGTAATTGCAAACTTTCCTTCTGTAAATTCAGTCCAAGATTTTTTTCCTTGGCTTCTTTCTCCCCTCCTCAGCATAAGACTGCTGCTGGGTAAAATGAAGGATTTCCATTCTTCAGGTTTCTGTCAGTCCTTGTTGTGGAATTCATGAAGCAGCACCAAAAAAAAAAGGGTTTTGATTCTGTTACTGTTTTGTAGTTGGTTCTGGGTTTTTTCTTCTACTTTCATGGCTGTAGAAATGTAGGTGAGGAGGATGTGAGTTGACATATAGTGCCTCTCTCGAAATGATAGCTACAGTTTTGTATTTTCTACTTCACTTGAACACATGAAGAAAATAAATCACAAGTAAAAGCTGCCAGGCAGCTCATAAAGAGAGGTTAGAAGCTTTAGTCAAGAGCTGTTTTCATCTTCAAAACAGTTTTTCTTACAGCATTCCTTGGACAGGCTGTCAGTCAAAAGCTTTGTTATACCAGGATCTAAAAGCTTACCCATGCAAAATGAGGCTCCTAACAAGAAAGTCTCTGGTGCTGTGGAAGTTGTGCTCTAAGAATGTGGTGCAGGGATGTATGACAAGTGTGACAGGACTGACAGCCCCAGATGGCCTGACCTGACCCTGCGTACTCCTTAAAAACCTTGTGAACTACCTGTGTTCCACTTGGAGAGTCAACCTGTGCCCTGAAGGAGAGCGCATTCTTATTAGAGCACAGATTGTTTTCTTGTCTTAAATTGCCATATCTTTCCTCTCTCTGTGTCAAGGAGTCTTACACCAATAAGAAAATTGTATGGAGCACAAACTGTTTTCTGATTCAATAATAACTTGGAAATGGCTGCAAACGACAGTTGCCTGAAACAATTGAGGTGTTTTGCACCAAATGGGAACAGGAGGTTGACCCACATGAAGACCTTCTCTGAAAGGGGAGCAGAAGTCTACCTGCAGTGGCTGCTGAAAATGTTCTTTCAGCTGGCATACCTCACTCAAGGCTGTCTCCCAGCTCTGTCTTTTGCTGTCCTTCTCTGGAAAGAGTATTGAAGTTAGGTAACTCCTCTTGATAACTTTTTATAACAGCAACTTGAGTTTAGAATCTGTACAAGCACAACCCAGCATTCAATGACTCTGAAAATTCACCCAGTAGTGTATGTTCTACTAGACCAAAAAACTCTCTGGGCCTTCTGGATTGTCTGGAGAATATTTTGCCTCTTTCAGTTAAGCTGCCAGTATGTTGTGTTTGAGGGAACCAACGCAGAGGATAGGGATCCAAGGTTTTTGCCTGGCCTTGGTAGCTCAGAGGTATTCCTGAGTCCATGCTGCATATAGTAGCTATTATGATCAAAATGATTCAAAAACATAGGTCTGTTTCTCTAGATCAAGTATTTCCATAGTTTTATAATCCATTGGCAGTTTTATGCTGTTTGAAGCTACTACCTGTGAACTTACCGTGCAGCTTCTCTATGTTCATGCTTCACTGAAAGAATGATATTTATGAAGATCATAAATGCAATTATTTTTTCCTCCTGCCTGTGTCCTTCTTGTGTGTCTTAACCTCTATAAAATATGTGGACTAAGCACACATACT